ATATTTTATGCCTCATTTTGTACACTGGTGTGCAAAACTTAAGCAACAGCAGTGTTTTTTTGCCATAACTCCACGAGAAATCAACTGAGAGACATGAAATGCAGAAACGAAGAAGAGTATTATGTACGTAAAGGATGACGAAAGCATCGAAACTGAAAAAGGAATACAATGCATATGGTATGGAATCAAACAAAAACAAGCTTTATTGAACGCATAGTATCGTGACTCATGATTGTCTATCCAAGAGGAAGAACAACTAGCAGATGTTCGTAATATGGGATATGCCCTCCCCTCACTGCAATGATTGCTTCGCACCGTCTCTGCATACTCAGAAGCAGCTGGTGCAACATTTCTTGTGATAGGAGTGCCCAGCATCTGTTTAAGTTGTTGGGTGTTCTCCGGAGGATGTAAGCGTGCTGCAATGCATCTCCCCAAAGCATCCCACACATGTTTGACAGGATTTAAATCTGGGGAGTTCGCTGCTCAATCCATTCGAGTGATATCTTCACTTTCCAGTAACTCCTCAACCGATGCGGACGTGAATTCAAAGCATAAAAATTAAGTCTGGGCCAATGGCACCTCGGAACACACACACATGGGGAAGGAGTACCTCCTCACAATAGCGTTCCCCGGTTACAGACCCTCTGTCAAAAACGTGGAGCTCAGTTTGGCCGTTCAGCATAATGCCTCCCCCCGCAAAAACTCCAGGACCACCATTACGGTGTCTTTCCTTGATGTTACTGGGATAAAACCGGGTCCCGACCTCTCTCCAAATCAAAACGCGTTGAGAATCGCTTCTGGTACTGAACCGACTCTCATCCGTAAAAGGACACGACTCCATTGATCAGTTGTCTAGTTTTTGTACTCTCTGCACCAATGTAATCAGTGGCCAACTTTCAACAGGAGGCAGCATTCAGGACGGCGGGCGAATTGGCCCCCTTTGTGAAGGCGTCTGAACACAGTAAACTGTGACACTTGTCGCTCCGTATCTGTTGCTGAGCTGTCGCTGTTGCCGTTGCTGTCCCATTGCTGAGCAATGGCGCTTGCTGACTGCTGTTGGCCTCTTTTTGCCCACAGGACAATATATCGGTCATTCCCTGCAGTTGTCGTCCTCAGGCGGCCACCACTAACTTAACAGCTGTACCTGTGGTTTGGAACGCTTTCCAAACACGCGAAACGACACTTTTGTTGATTCCAAACTCTTCAGCTACACTGGTGACAGTACGCCCCTCCTCCAGCTTCTGATCATTCTTCCATGTGTGAAGTCATCCAGGTGATTTCTTCTAGCCATATTTCACGAACTGACTCACTGGCACTTGCAGCGAATATGTTGAATTGCATCTCCGTCCTTCCTTTTATTCTACTGTTGAGCTGTGCGTGCCGACATCACACGTTCTGTGTACGCTCACGCCGCCTCTGACGTTTCGTTCCTGATATTTGCATACACATGACGTTTCTACTGACTTACGTGTTTTATCGTACTCATGTCCAGACCTCCTTTCCTGCAATTTCATGGCTATCTGCTAAATTTTTACATTGTTGCTTAAGTTTTGCACAACAGTTTATAACTGCTACAAAAACTTAAATATTAAAATTTTATAATCTTAGAAAATTAACTGTAAAATAAGTGTTCAAGAAATGCTATTTTTTCTGAAGAACACTCGGCCATATATTCCAGAAAACATCTAGATATCATATTTAAAATGTTTTTGTTCTTATTGATTATATAAATTTTTCTATAGATAACAGAAAAGTCTAGCATTTCTTTTTCCATTACAGATACATTATTAGTATTATTTGTTTCATTATACACTTCATTTTAAAAGTATATCAAATTTTAAAATTTTTTCTATGGTACTATTAACAATATAGTATAACCTGTATTTGCAGAAAAGTTTGAAAGGTGGTTTCACAGGCCCCCATGGGGGCCTGATAATTGAAATAAAAGGGCTTCGACCTCTCTTAGTACTTTACCTCTATTAAAGAGATATTCTTCATAAGCTAAATTATATATCACTACCTTATTTATACAAAAGTTTTAAAGGAACTGGTAGGAGGCCAAAAAGATTGAAAATCGAAATAAGGGCTTTAACGTGTATCAAGTATTAAAATTGTTTAATGCCTTTCCTTCCGAAACAAAATGATACATTACAACCTATATTTACAAGAAATTGAAAAGGGGCATGATAATCAAAAAGAGTGCAGGCGGTGATTTTTGGTGTAATAGCATGCTCCTTTAATACATTATTCAAAGCATAAAATATAATAACTTCAACATTGCAATATAATTTTTCAGCTGAGTCTTAGTGTGTTTCACTTATCAATTTTTTTATTTTTCAGCTGAGTTACATTATACTAGTTCAGATACAGCATGATAAGGTTTACACATGTAGTATTATATTTGCTAAAATTTTTCATAAAATAATAATATTGAAACTACATCACTTTCAAAAGCTTTCTACCCATATTTACATAAGTATGTTCGGCTGGGTGATATCATCAAAGTGCATAAAAACATAAATTTCCAGCAAAATTTTAAAAGTTTCTGACTTCAGACTTGCATAATTATATTGAAGCACCCGTTAAATGCACATCAAATGTATGAAAAATTATATTAAAAAATAAAAATCAACAATTGCCAGCTACATGGAAAGTCTTTGGGGGGCCACCAGTATAAAATATATATCGGCCCTCAAAATTCCAGATTTGACTCTAGACTATTTTTTTGTAAAGTCTCTTTTGTAATCCAGATCTAGTCTCTTAATCTCCAGTTTTTTTTTTTTTGTCTTAGGATTCATAAGTTACAATTCATGCAAAATTTTACCACAATTTAAATTATTTCATTTACCACCCCTGAAAGGGTCAAAAGATTTACCACTAAACATTTGTCAAATGCCATTGCTTACCCATCAGATAGTTTCTTAGTGGATGTACTACAGAGACCAAAAACAAAGCAATCACTATATCGTATGACAAGGTTTCGATACATGTTGCAGAATTGTAAAAATTTGTTCCATGTGAGAAACGAGTCGTTATGTGGCATCACTCTCATATCAAGATCTCGTCGCATGCTTGGAGAATACGGCCCTAAGACATCATTCTAACAAAAGTGCGGCTGGCAAATCTGTTGTATGGTGAAAAAACCTCATGCAGAAATTTTTCAAATAATATTGTGCAGGTTCTTGTCTCAGATCCAGGATTTTTTGGACTTAAGAAACCCTGGTACACTAGAACACTTGCTTGAAGTAGTGGTGAAATTTGAAAGCAGGCAAGTCTTATCAAGGAGGCACACATGGGGAGACGAGAAAAGACACGAGGAATTTTAAAAAAGCAGTAGCCGGCAAAAGGCCTAAGTTTGATGGCCCAAGGCAGTTTCAAAGCCAGCAGTATTTTTCATCCACTAATGCTAATTGCCAAAACAAAAATCAAGAGAAGAAAGGGCTGGAAGAAACCTTTAACCCCTAACTGCCACGGGCGTATATATACGCCAAAATGTCGCCAAACTACCTGTTACCATATTCCAAAGATTAGCCTAATACTTCTTCGCACCTTTACTTTTGTATATTGATCAAAAACATAGAGTTTTAAGAACTAACTCGGGAGTGATAGACTGACAGTAGTGGTTTCCAAAATTTATTTAAATGTTTTTCTTTCTTATATATTCACAACCAGTTGATGCTCATTGTGACAACTTTCTACATCAGAAAAAGTCTTTCCCATAAAATTTAATATCCTTCTGAATCAGCTTACTTATTTTTCAATCCAAAGATGGGTAATAATCAAACATTTCATTTGAAAACTTATTTTTCAATTTCCTTAACCCCTTAACTGCAGCGGGCATATATATATGCCTTGCTCAGCCAATGCGTTAACTGCCATGGGCTTATATATACGCCCTTCCAAAATACTATTATTTGCTTTGCGCGGCTACCTGTAAAATTATTCGCAAAGCTTTGGAATGCAACACTACAATGACCTTGTCAAAGTACGTGAAGGAGGATACTATTTCCGAGAAGTGTGGGGAGAAATTGGAGAGAGGGATGTGTCTAAAGCGGTGAAAGTAATGACTGCACAGTATTGGCTGGTGCTGTTTGAGCAAAACTGTCTTTTCTTTATTCTGTGTCCTCCGTTTTTGTTTTTGTAGTAGATTTCAGGAATAATGAAAGATATAACGGATGTTTCAAACCCGTTAATCTTTTTTGAATTATTTTTTGTTGTTGCTGAAACTAACCATTTTGTAGACGAGTATATGAACCAACACCTTGCAAACGAAAAATCAAGAACAAAATTATGGCATTCAACCAGTTCTGATTCTGAAGAAATATATGTTTTTTTAGGCATACTGATTTCACAAGGTATAACACTGAAACCTGACGTTACACTTTACTGGTCTAAAAATAAATTGATCGAAACTCCATTTTAAGGATCTTTTTTATTATAAAAACATCACTTTTACTTTTTTATTATACCTACATCCTTGTATTATACTTTTACTCTAAACATTAAATTTTGTGCATTCATTTTTTTCTTTTATTATTTATTTTGTGAAAGTAAACAGTTTTTAGAAAGTAAGACTTGCACTGACTTTTACCCTAATACATCGCATAACTAGGCGGGCCCATCTGAAAAACCGTGGCACAGGGAAATGAATCTTGTGCTTTTTCTGTGGCAGTTAAGGGGTTAATACTACTTTACTCTCCATCCTAGAAAACCTGCATTCAATAAATTTTATTTAGGAGTATCAAAAGCTTTCTACAAAAGTAAAAAAACTTACCTGCAAATTAACATTTTAACTTACAGTTTCTACCAGTCATAAAATGTGTACTTTATATAATCAAATTATATAAAAGATTAGTCATTAAATTTTAAAATATATTATCTCAAAAATAAGTGAGGAAACAAAGTGCCACCAGTCTGCTAAGCAAAAAGAGAAAAACAATTTTACTGGAGAAAAAATAAATATCATTAATTCCCCATCATCAAGACAGAAATCAAAATACCTGTAATTCCACCAGGAAGAGCTGTTAAATCACTGATATATAAAATAGAATTCTTGCAGGTCTCTCTGACAGAAATAAGAGCATAACGACCACAACTGCTTACTTTACAAGCCCTGGAATAAAGCATATTTAAATTAAATGTAGTTTGTCAACAAGATATATATTTAGATAAATTACAAAAATTATTTTGTAAAAAAGTCTAAAACAGGTGAAACTAAAATAATATTTCCAAGCTGATGCTAAGCAAAATCATATCACCTAGATGAACACTTTTTTTTTAAAATAAATTATTTCCTTTTACAGTTATATATTTCAAGCTCTCAAAGTTTACTCCTCAAATCTTTGCTTTCTAATGAACTCAAATATTTGAAATCAGTTGCTATTGACAAAGGATTTTCTCCCAAAGACACTGACATCACCTTTAGAAAATTTTCATCTTACCATCAAACAAGACATTCAAGTGTTAAAAATAACATTAACTTTCTTGTTCTATCATTTCATCCTTCTTCAGTTACAGAATTGCACAGATTCTCCAGAAATTCATTTTTCAAATCATCTCCTTACCTATCAATAAAATGTATAGTTCAATTCCCAAAGATTCCCTTTCTGACTTTAATTCATGGAGAATTAATAGCATATCCTGTCAATGCGGTTTCACATATATCGCCCCCTCCCACACACACACACACACACACACACAAAAAGGCATAAAGGTTCACATTAAGGAAAATGAATCTTAGTGTGAAAAGAGAAAATAAATTTTATAGCTAATCATATCTGGAAATTTAATCTAAGCTTTGAGTAGGAGTTGCTGAACTGAATTTTCTTGAAGCTTTTCACATTCACAAAAATTTATCTTTTTTATAGTTAATGATTTTAATTCCAATCCAGTCCTCTTTCGAACTCTACAAATGTAATTTTTTATGTTGTTACAATTTTTGTGGATAGAAAAGTAAGCTTCCTCCTTGCTTTACTTTACTATTGGTGTAAATGTGCTTGTGCCTCCTTCCTTCATTGCAGAATTTCTTTGTTTCTCATGAAGAGGAACCTGTCCCAACTCACTCTCGAAATTGATAGTGTCTTGGTAAAATCTATGCAAAACACAAAATTGTTGCTTTTCCTAGTAAGTAAATGCTCAAGAAATTAACCCATTCATGGGCAGGTCTCTCCGAACAAAATGCTATATTGTTAGTTAACAAAGCCCTCCAAAATAATCGCTTTGATTTTCTGAAATCTCTCTATGATGGCCCAGCCTAGGACAGAATGTTCACTTCCCTAAGTGTGATGCATACTTGCCAACCTATGACACTCAAAAATCAGGAGATTTTTCACAATGTTAAAAAAACTTTCTAAATGAAAAAAAAATATAGTTTTTAATAATGAATTAACTTTAAATAGTTACTAGTTCTTAAATGCAAGCAACACAAAAATACCTTACACATAAAAAACATTTTTATTACTTGCATCGTTTAAGAAAACAACAACAACAACAACAAAAAAAAAAAAAAAAAAAAGACACTTTAATCAGTTTTTGTACAAATGTTATGACCAGTGGCACATTCGTGCTTAGATAAACTTACAGTAATCGGAAAATGCTTCGTGTGTTGAGAAATTTTTTTTTATTTTGAGAGAAGTTTGTATCAGGTTTACGCTTATATTTTGCAGTATTATTTTGAGAACTGCCAGCTTAATTGCTGAATGGTGCCAAAATGACTCTATTTTTCACAAACCTATTTTAACAATGGGAGTTGTAACTACATCTCCACTTACTTTAGGTATTTTATAACTTCCAATTGAGCTTTTTATTTTAAATCTCGAAGTATTTACTTCTTCTGTAAAAAAATGCAAGAAGTGGGTTCCATTGATCAAGGATTCTAGATAAGCATTTCTTTAAAGACAGCCAGCCGTATCACACGTTTCAAAATTTTTCTCATTTCAGTATTATGTAGCTGTTGGAACTGTTTCAATTTTTTCCTTTCTTTTTTAGAACTCCTTTCAAAATAATAAATATCAACAATGTGTTTATCCACATTAATTGGTATAGAAGCTGCCCCTTTTTCTAAATTGAAGAGGTGACAGGTGCACCTCATAATCTGCAAATCTGAATTTTCCTTTCTTAAGATGCCTGCAACACAGTCTTCAAGCCTACCATTACTGGTGCATTATCGGCACCAAGTGCTAAGCAATTATCCAGAGGGACTACATTTTCTTTTAAAGTTTTAATAATTAGCTGTGCTATATTAAAGCCTGTAGAATGTCCCTCTAAAGTGGGGACAGAAAGTAAACTGCACTCAATTTCCGAAGACTCTAGATTTAAAAAAGAAACAATAATTGGATACAGTTTTGAATCGGTATTATTGCTTCCATCTGTAGAGAGGCAGAATGGAGCTGTTTTAATGCAATCAATAATTGAAGATATTTCTTTAACAATTGCACCTGTTTTGGTCCTTGCATTTGAGTATTTCTTAGCGATTTCACTATCGGATGTGTATTTAATTATGGCAAAGCACACTAGGGCTATCTGCCTAAGGGAAGGGATGCCTTCGTGGAGGACTTTCTAAGAGAAACTGGCTCGTATACACGTTACACATGGGGAAAACCACAAAAACGCCCATGCAGCCAGCCCGTTCGCGGGATTCGAACCTCGGACTGAACTACCAGTGTTCAGCGACTTTACCGCTCGGCCGCTGGTTGGCCTTTTGGGAAACTATCGGGAAACATTTTTCTAAATAAAGCTGCAGCGTGATCCGATGCATTCAGTGGCAGGTTGTGCTCCAGTAAAAAGGCAAAGAACAGACATTCTGCCTTAATAACTTTTTAATCCTTTGTTTCGAAAGAAAAATTTAATTTTTTCTTTTTTTTTTTTTTAACAACTCATGTGGTCCTTTTGTTTTTGTGTATGCACATGATTGAGAACATCCGCCCTTCCACCATGCGAAATCGAAAAATTACAATGACAGATAGTACACATCGCAAAATTATTACATTTCCTTGAGGAAATAATGGAAGAAACTAAAACTGTTTCCTGAAGGCACATGTACTCACACAACTCAGGACAAGATGCACGAAATAACTAAAGAACATCCAAATAACAGCCTTGAACTCATTGCCTAATATATGCCAGATGGCACGCAGTGCAGCTCGATGCCCATTGTAGAATGATGTTTCTGGATACGTATGCTCTCACTCACAAAGCAGAAGTTCTCATCTGATTCGCAAGGTTTTGTTTTAGATATAATCTAGAGAAAATGCAATTGCTTTCAGACGTCCAAAATCACCTTTTTTTTTTTTTTTTTTTTTTTTTTGTTGTTGTTGTTCATATAGCGAAGTATTAAGTCAAGTTTCATAAAAATCATGACAAATTTTAACAATAAGAAAAAGTCGGGAGAAACAGGAGTCTCCCGCCTAAACCGGGAGAGTTGGCAACTCTGGTGATGGATAAGCCATAAAATCACTTCCCTGCTAATGAATGGCAAGAAATACTTGTTGTGTTAGTTTTGTCTCTCTTCTGTCCTTTGTACTTGTAGTCTTGTTAGCCTCTTCTTAGCATTTTAGCTTCCCCGCTTATTGTAAATTTTTGATTATTCAACATGTTGTATTGGGCAATATTTTAATAAAGATCATTATTTATTTTATTACACAAATTTTTTTTTACTACAGTATAAAGTCCGTAATCTGGACTCGTCGGGACTTTGGAGATTCCCGATTAGGGGTTATAGATCATCAATTTAAATCTGGTTAGATGGCATGCAGAAATTATACAATAAAAAATATGAAATCGTAATTTATGAAATAAAGAGCAATTACGATCTAAAGGGTATCAAAATCTACAAAAAAAAGCTTAATATTTATTTGTTTACTTTATTTAACATTTCTTTCAATGTAAGTTGTTAAGTTGCTTCGTTTTTTATGCTAAACGCTCATACGTAAGCATTAAACGCACATGCGTAAAAGCATACAAAAAAAAAGTTTGTGTCTTATAGATCCAGATTATAGATCATTCCAAATAATGGATGTCCGGATTACAGACTTTGTACTGTATTTACTTGTTATCTATTTTATTTATTTTTATACGTCGATTTATGTTGGGAAATTAAATTTTAATCACCTTTTTTACTGACGCAGTTTTCTTGACATTATAAGTCCACATATATTTGCAATAAAGGTACAATATTTCTCAGGAATTTTTGGTAGACATATTTATATTTAGCGGTGAATTTTTTCACAAGCTGTTTGTTAAGAGTTGAGCTCATCCTCATAAATGCTTGATCTTTTCAGCGTTGAACTGACAAACAATAACCTTCCTAATGAGAGTTTTTCAGGATTTTAAAGCAATTTCTAGAATTTGGGCTGTTTTCTAAAAATATTTTGATAAGTTTAGCTATTATGCAGTTGCTAGTAATATAGAATTAACTAAAAAAATTATTCCTTTGTTGATTTGAGAAATCGCATTTCTAAATCAAACAGAAATTCAAGTGAATTTGATGCAATCTTACGCTAAACTAGAAAGAATTATTTTTCCATATTTAAGAACAGGATTTTCTCGGTTTTCCACATTTTAGAGATTAAATGTATATAATAAAAAATATGAAAATCCTTTTTAATTCTCACAGTTAAATGAATTCTAACTTTTTTTTTTTTTTTTTTACTTTTGTAATATTTCCATTCATGCGTGACTAAGTTTAAAATTGTGGAACTCCAACTTACAAATGATATCATGACCTTACAGTATCTCAAATGTAAGCATGATTGTAAATTATTTATTGTTATTAGACAAAATATCTATTGAGAAAATGGCAACAGCTAATTTCTGGATGTCGTTGTATTTATAATTTTAAAAAATATACATTGAGATGATATACGGTTGAAATGTTTAATGGTATGATGCAGTAAGTACGTTTGTTATGTTATGTACGTTTACGAATATGTTACGTGTAGGTTATTAAGATTTATCTTTAAATAAATGTTTGTTTGTCTTTTACAACCATTTTATGAGTGATTAATTTAACTACAAAAGGAAGTAAACACAAGGAATAACTGAAATGAGACAGAATATAAAAATGGTTATAGTCAATTTAAATAAATTTATCAATTTTCATTTAAAATTTGCCAT